GTCTCTACCCGAAGCTTTCTCCTTCCTCGCCTCTCCTCCAAGCCCTCCTCCCTTCCTCGCTAGTGGTCTTGAGTAAACCGTCTCTCCTCTGGCATCTCCCAGTCTCTCGCGATCAGCATATCAATACTTCCCAGGCTTCGCTTTTCCTTCCAACCCCTCCTATCCCCTCTCCTTCCCCCCTCCCCTCTCCCCTCATCTCTCCTCCCCCAGCCTCTCAAACTCCAATGACATGTTACAATCGCCATGCCACTGGCTGTTGAGAGCATTTCACAAGACTCAAACTGTTGTGGAATGCGTTGGGAGAAGCCTAAAAAAATGCAATCATGGCAAAGCACCAGCAAGTCTCTTGAAATATGTTTCATATACAACCGACGAAGCATTCTGGTTCAGGAAGCTAGGCCGTCATCGCAATAAGGAGAATAGCATTTCCTTTATGTCTTCGAAGGTTGCCTCTCTGATCGATTCCTTTCATGTTTCCCTTCTGAAAGTGTGAAAACAGCTGATCAGGGCTTTGGCACATCAGAATTGAGGTGTTTCAGTGCAAGTATGACAAGGAAAGTCACACAATTATTGGATAGCGTGAGCATGCAAATTTGAATGCATACCTTACACTATTACAAGTCAATGCACAGTTACAACTATGCTCACAATGCTTCAAAGCATATTTGCATTTACACGCAACTCAACGAACTGAGATTCAAATATTTCCTTTCCACAAAATTCTTATTGCAACATGATATGCATCCGATGATCATCCTCAAAACACTCTGCTTAAAGGAAATGCAGTCGTTTTCCCACATGATACATTCAAATCTGGTCAAATTTGGCATCAAAAGATGTTCTTGTCATCACATTGATGTATGCATCTCACAACATGGTGCCCACAGGGCGCGATCTGCTTGAACGTGAGTCTCCCAAACTGACACCGTGTACAACATTGGTACATTCTGTACAACGTTTAAAAATTCCAGAAATGGCACGGTGCTGGCAGGATCCCACAATTTGAAATGGCGTGGTTTGACAGAAGTAAAACATTTCAAGGAAAATTTTCGCTTTGAAATCCAAAACCTATTCATTCAGAAAAATCCAGGTAGAAAAAGACCCCGCCGAGACGGAATAAAATCCAGTTGAGAACCCAATGGATTGTTGTGGCACTCCCGGTCCCGGCACCGTGACTGGCCCGGCCCCCGGGCCGCCGGGGGTCCCGGGAGCCGCATGATTCCGGCCGGGCGACTACCATGCCACCGACACTCAGCGCAAAGAAACAAGCCTTTTCATCTTCAAACCGTCACGGTCGCAGTGAACTTGGCCCTCGAAGTTCTGAACGATAAAGTCACTTCCGAGGCTGCAACCGTGTGCACGGTGCGTTACAATTTATCAGCCTGGGAGCAGGAACCGTTGAACTTACTACTAGTTACTGTTAGTGACTAGCCTGCAAACTAGGTGACCGTCACTTGGCAATTAGCTGGATTGGCTCGTTGGCCTGAAAGTGCAAACTAGCTACCCACAGCTCATGATCAGTTAAGATCACGACTTCATCACCCTCTTCGTCGATGTACAGCAGTCGCTCCAGCCTCCTTGTTCCCCTCATCCTGCTGTCATTCAACTTGTGCAGAAGCTCCTTTCCCACGAAGAAATCGAGACATCCTTCCAAACTGCGAGAGAAAATCTGGATTGTTCGTATATCTTCCAAGCCATCCGTCAAGCATCTAACATGAAAGGAGTGCTGCTGAGCACGAGATGACGAGATCTGTGAAGGAGCATGACTCTGAAACGATGAGATCTGAGAAGAAGGAGCATGACTCTGAAACGACGAGATCTGTGAAGAAGGAGTATGGCTCTGAAACGATGAGATCTGAGAAGAAGGAGTATGGCTCTGAAACGATGAGATCTGAGAAGAAGGAGCATGACTCTGAAACGATGAGATCTGAGAAGAAGGACTATGGCTCTGAAACGATGAGATCTGAGAAGAAGGAGCATGACTCTGAAACGATGAGATCTGAGAAGAAGGGGCATGACTCTGAAACGATGAGATCTGAGAAGAAGGGGCATGACTCTGAAACGATGAGATCTGTGAAGAAGGACTATGGCTCTGAAACGATGAGATCTGAGAAGAAAGAGCATGACTCTGAAACGATGAGATCTGAGAAGAAGGGGCATGACTCTGAAACGATGAGATCTGAGAAGAAGGGGCATGACTCTGAAACGATGAGATCTGAGAAGAGGGAGCATGACTCTGAAACGATGAGATCTGTGAAGAAGATTGATCGTCATGACTTCGTGGCACCGGATTATTTCCAATGTTTGGTTCAACACTTTCATGCCATGCAGGTGCGCTGCCCTCCCAACCCGCTCCATCTGCACCTGCGTTTGCTGCTGCTGCTGCTGCTGCTTCTGCTTCCCCACTTTTTCCACCTCCCAAGACATCATAATACGAAGGCCTCCCAGAGACGCAGGAGGACGCACTATCGTAGACGCTGTCATGAAAAAAATCGTTGATCGTGTTGGGGCTAGAGTGATGTTGGGGAAACTGGGCCGGGGGGAAGCCTTGTGAGGCCAGAACATGAGAGAAAGTCTCATGCTGGCCACGCGGCGAGCTTTCAGAGTAGCTGCTGGCAGGGTGAGCAGGACCTAACTCGTAAGGAGGATTCTGTTGATGGTTGAAGGTACGGTGGTGGTCGGTGTGCTCCATGACGCTCATAGAACGCACGGTTTTACCTGAGGCAATGATCAGCAGAGCCAATGAAATTTATGGCAGACAGAGATTTTGGGGAGTGGATCCTTCTTTTACCAGTGGATGGAATAGGGTAGGATTTGATAATGAGTAGGATGGAAGGATACGATAGGTGGTTTGGATAGGAACGGGGCTGGAGGCAGGGAGGGGGGGAAGGGGGTAAGAGCACTGCATGCAAAGACAATGCGAGAAAGGACATCAGAATCGTTTGTGGCAAGACGCTGTCAGTATAAGGACAACTGATAAAGGTGAAACAAGGATGTGTGCTCAAAAGAACGTATGCAAGGAGAAGAATAGGAGAAGAATAGGAGAAGAATAGAAGAAGAATGCTTCCAAGCAAGAAGCAATGCTCGAGATCATTTCTCTGCTCACAAGAGCGAAAGGGAATGCGTATAGGAAGCAAGAACATCATCTCAAGGATCAGAGCAGCGCTAGTGGAATGGCGAGGGAGTGCTGCGAGGGAGTGTATGGCTATGGGAGGGAAGGCAAAAAAGAACTAAATTTCCATTAGCAAGAATTTCAAATCCAAGAATAGATTTTCAATGATACTCAAAACTTTCTTTATTATTGTAACAATCGACCTCACAACTCTCTGTAAGTTGTGCGCGGTCTTTAATAGTATTTTATACTTGCTCCTGGTAGTATGGTCAAGGGTGTCTTCGTACTAATTTTAGCTTAAATTCAGCTTAAAATTAGTACGAAGACACCCCTGACATCACTACTAAAGTGGGAGCACTACCCTGACGAGATCTTCTAGTAACTTTAGAGTTAAACTTGAGAAATGGGTTAAGATCTAAGTTAAATCTATAGGTGATCCTAGTTAGATTCCAGTTGTCAATTTGTACCACAACACACTCTTTGTTTCCAACTGTCAACTGTTTGTTCCACCGATACGTTCAAGTTCAACTGCGGGACATGCAGTGTGGACAGAATGAAGATCGGATGCGTGTGCAGGTCATTCTGCACTTGTATGAGATTCCAGCATCACATACATTGCATGATTCTCTCATGTAGTATGCCCGATGCTGTCTGTCATGTAGAACATCAACAACATGAAACGGTAAATTACGAAGGCTTTTACTACTGCATGAACTTCCTCACTTCAAGCGAATGCCCGCGATGTTTGGGTCTTCCATTCAGGATTTGCAGCTCCAATACACGTTTTTCAGAGTATATAGCTTGACGCACTGATTCTCAGAAAGCAGCGACGTTTGCCTGTTGGAATTTCCGTTTTACCTCTGTTTGTTTTCTAGTCTTTGTATGTTACTGTGAAAAGGTGATGTATGTAACCATGTGTTCAAGTAAACGACGTGTTTCAGATGATCCAAGCCATTGTTTTCATTGAGCACACAACAGGGAAGCATTCATCATCAAAATATTGCTGTTTCAGTGATGTTCACCGAGTGAGCAACACGACCCAACGACGAAGAGTCACAGAGTATCCTCACGGCGCGGCATGCATGCTGGCACGAGTCTATTCTGGCAGGGTTAGAGTTGACGGCATGTTGTCAGTCAGGTGGAGTTGACAGGGTGCACGACAAGGAGGTCGGACGAGCATGCTCACGCAATCTGATCGTGGTGTGGGTGTGGAACGCCCTGTCTGGGGGCGGGCCGTCGGCTTTTACCGAGATGACGAACCGTTGCGATTTAACTATACAATTGCTAATAGTGACTTATGACAGTAATAAACTCTACTTTACTTCCAGCATGTGTAGTAATCTCGTTTTGTGGCTCTTGAGATCCAAACGACGCGCTGCGACGGGGATCGGGTCGGACGGAGCGGGAACAAGGGGGAAGGGAGCCATGGGTTGGTGGAGCTCGAGGACGGTTCAAAGATCTTGTTTCATTCGAGGGGTGAATGTGAAGGAGATCGCTAGGGGGATTCTAAATTGATGAGGAAGATTTGACATGAGTAAACTTAAAGAATAAACTTCGAAATCTTCGAACACTCGTGTATTTGTTGCATTCTCCTGCCAGACGTACACTTTGACGCTCTCGAGATTTCTGCTGGATGTATGCTAATTTCGAAAGTGAAAATCATCGATTATGACATTGCTAGCCATGTTTTTCAGCAATTTACGATAATTTACTAATGCACAATTGATTATACCAACACACCAACACAGGTTGAAAAATGTAAGAAAGTGATCAGAAAGGGTATTTCAGGATCAACGAAGGCTAGAATTTCAGAACGAGCACGAAGAAACTTTCCATATTAAGATCTAGAAGAATCTAGAATCCGAGTTCAATCTCAGGGGTCTGAGGATTATCTGGCAATGAGACGCACGGCCTTGTCTTTCTCCTTGAAGTGCATGATGGCAACCCAAAGCTCATGGTCGGATTTGATCGAGATCTCATCGCGCTCTTCGTCTATGTAGAAGAGATGACTGTAAGACAGGCCCGTCGTTGCAGCCTTTGCACAATCATTCAGCCTGCTCAATATCCTCTCGCACATCACGTAGCCATCATTCTCCTCAGGCTCCCACGGCATTCGGATCCTGCGCATGCAGTACTCTCCGCCCTCCTTGCAAGAGATCTTGTACTCGACAGGCTTGCGCTTCTTGGATGATCCAGCTGCTGCTGAGTCGTCTGCTCGTCGCTTCCTCCCCAGGCTCGATTCCTCCTGCCCCATGTCTGGGGATTCGGCTGTGTTGCCGGCTCCCAGGACATCGAAGTAGGTTGGGCGAGACTGGCAGCTGGACGGAGCAGAGGACACAGACTCTCTGAAGCTTTCAGGAGCGAGCGACATGTCCTCCAAGTTGCTGCTGATGGATGGGGGATCGATCACCGACGAAACAAACGAGAGAGGCTGGTGCAGGTTGGCAGGCGCGAGCTCTTGATCTTCTTCATAGTGCTCCACGACACATTCCGGAGAATCGACGTCCTGCAGGGACCCTTCGGCTTCATTCATGTCGCAGGCAGGTTCAAACGTGTTCGAATTAAAGCCAAGTCCAAACACGAAAGGTGAGGCCAGGAGTTCGCTGTTGGCAGGAATAGGGATATCTTCGGCTGGTTCAAATGCTGGTGGTTTGCCTTGCCACAACTGTTCAAACCTTGGATGCGGGGACAGGTTGAATTTAGATGATGTCATATATATCGAAGAGAATCAATGATGCCCTGAGTCCTGATGGCTCAGGCTATGAGCACAGAAGCAAGAGGATCTATCCTCGTGAAAGAGAGCAGGATCGGCAACGTCTGCTCAATGGAGGTTGGGAGAAGGAGCGAGTAGGTGGAAGGAGAGCCGATAGGGAGAGGAAGGGCGAGGAGCAAGAAGCCTGAAGGAGCCAGGTGGAGATGGGGGGAGGGGGGGGCGGGTAGATCAGGACTGTGCTGCGTGGAGGCTGGGGGGAGGGGCAAGTGGTTGGTCTCAAGAGATTGGCGCGATGGGAGTCAAGGAGTCGACGGAGGGGGAGGTTGCTTATCCAAAACTCAGTCACGCCTTCATCTTCTGAACATGAAATGAAAAAGCATCTTTTCGACAAATATCCAGATTTAGAACTTTGAAAAATATATTTTTCGTGCAGAGGATCTCCGCTCAACCCACCCCCTGCTGATCTTATATCCAGTACCCTACCCCACATCTAGATTCAGTTGGTCAATCATGAAAAAGTACCCTACCCCCAATGTCACCCACCCCCTATTTACCCATGATTCAAAAGTTGAAAATGTCCTGGCGGTTGATGTGATAGCGATCAAATCGGGCCGCCCAGCAACGTCACGGTCCAACGGAAGCATCAACTGACGGATCCCCGGGCCGGGCCCAGCTGTCCGACAGTCTCGCCCGCGGCAGTGATCGGATCATGATCGGATCATGCGGCCTCTCAGCTGGGCGGGCTCCGAGTACTAGCTAGGCCGTCTGATTGTACGGTCCTCGTACTGATTTTTAACTTAACTTTGAGTAAAGACAACTCGGAACTAGCCTGAGCTAGGTCCGGTCCGGTCTGGCAGGGCCGTCTGCAGTGACGGTGACAATGCAGTGCAACCGTAACTGAAAGGGGGGCGCCTCGGCGAGTCAGCAGTGACCACTGCGGTGACCACCACTGCCAGTACGGTCTGATGGTGGCACGGCGGTGCTGAGGGCCGGGGCGGCCCGGGCGATCGGCTGCGGCCGGGCAGTGCTGCTGCCAGGCGGCGGCTCCCGGAGTCCGAGCCTCCGGCCGGGCGCGCCGGGCCTCAGTCGCGGCCCGCCGGCGGGGCCGGCGGCGGCCCAGCCTGGGGCGCGGCCGGCCCGGCTCTCTCATCAGAGCCGTCAGGCCACACTGCCGAGGCCGCGCAGTACGGTCCCCGGCGGCGGCGACAGACCACTGAGACCGGGTCCGAGCCCGATCGGACTCGAAGCCGCTGAGCCCGTCGAAGGAGTGGGATCTCGAGATTGTTCTGACGTTTCAGATTGAGAGGTCAGGACCATCCCAAGAAGTCATTGTAAAACACACCGTTTCGAGTTTACTCGATTCCACATCGTCCGTTTGGATAGACTCTGACTGCCTCTATAGATGGAGGAATGTCTCCATAAATGGAGGTGATGAAGCGGGGATGAGGGTATGCGGATGGACCTCCAGAAAAAGAACTTTTCTGATGAGGAGTCGGGGAGGGAGAGGGAGAGGGAGAGGGAGAGGGAGAGGGAGAGGGAGAGG